CCCCAATATTTTGTCGATAATGACGACTATTAGCAAGACGACAGCTAGTTACCCGTGCCGTTCGACACTTTCCAAGACCCAGAGGCAAGCGTCGAAACGAGCTTTACGTTAAGCTTCGCTTCGAGCTTCCCGTTATCGAGCCACCTCCCCGCCCGTGGTTACGGATCCCATTTTAAGCGCCTTAGGAATTTACGAAGTCCACCATCAAAACCCCACATTGCAGAAGATCATTACAAGGCTGGACCTGCACGCCGCAAAAAGAAACCCAAAAACAAGTCACCCAATTCAGGAGGAGCAGAAGGGAACGATGCTGGTTGTAAATGGAATGATGGCATGGAGCGGTGGGAGTATTGGGACGAAACGCAACAAGCCATGCTGTATTGGAATGGCGAGAAATGGCGTCGGGTAGAAGAGGAATAGCTCGAGCTGGACGGAGCCGAAAACTTGCCTCCTAGAGGTTCTTTCTCACGTTGCCTTCCTCCATCCCGCTCGTGCCACCGAAAACAGAAGAGTCGGAAGAATCCCACCCATGGGGCAACCCTCTCCCGGGTCGGCGACGAGGTCGTGCTGGTGCTGGGGGCGCGAACACCTTTTATTATGAGGAAGAGGAAGACGCGCAGCGGTGGCGGGGAGGGCAAATTCTACGAGCTTGCCAGGGTATGCTACACCCACGGGATCATGAATAGGGAAGCATTGAGTGCCGGCCCGGACGCCACGGAGGAGCTTGTTTTCGTGCGGCCTCTTTGAGCGGCAGGATGCACACTCAAACTTGTGCATTGCGGCGCCCAATCGAAGACCCCCATTTCTGCATCGCACTTCTTGCCAACGCAGCAGCACAGCAGCGGGTTGCATATCCCTGCCCACACCAGCCTGGCCAGACTCGTTGGCAATCATGGGCTCCGCAACCACTCGCTTCGCTTTGTTGTGCATATGCGGGAGGCCCTCCAATACTGTGGCTAGCCACACAGTGCTGCAGGAGATTCTACTGTCCTGCACGAGCACCGAGACTCCCAGCCTGCCCTATTTCCTGTGACAGACAGGTCGTTCAAGGCGCACGTGCAGGCACCTAGACGAGCCGCATATTGACGCTATTCTAGAACCAGCCACTATCTCCAGTCGCCTCCAGTGGGCGGCGTTGGCAGCCTTGCGAACGGCTGGGCATGAAAATAGAAGCTCGCTCTTTGCCTCTGCGGACCGATGCGGAATACAGCTCAACACGTCGTCGTACTACGGTCTAAGTGTTGACGTTGGCGGCTACGTCGAGCTAGAGCCGCGGAGGTGGCGCTAAGCTGTGGGCGTGAGGGTGCGAAGACCTGGGTGGCGGCAGAGCGGCGAGCCGGTTCCTGTCGTCAGTTTGGATGTCTGAGTGCCTTCTAATATGCATTTATTTCCATCATTCCGGGTCAGTACTTCGGGATGCTGGGTGCAGGCAAGTCGCAAGTGGCCCGAAGGCGCCTTCTCAAATCAGTATTGAGTCCTCCCTAGACGTGGGCGGGAAGAACCACATTAACAGGCGAAATTCGTGGACCCTGGAGCGATTCTCATTGGCTTAACAACTAGCCGCCTGCGCCTCCCCCGCTGTGGCTGAGGCTACTGGTTCAAAGCAGGACTGCTGATAACCAATTATTTGTTGCACGGCGCGCTGAGCTGAGCGCCAATGCATTGGCCGCAGGCGGATGAAAGCGGGGCTGGTATGCTTTAGCCGCGCGCGTCTTTCAAGCCTGAGGTTCATTCAGCGCGAAGCAGTCGAAATGTAGGTCTTTT